TGGTTATTATTAATAAATATTATTAAATGGCCTTAAAATATTACGTGCATTTAATTTTCTAATAAAAGATAAACGATTGAGTTAATTAGTAACCAATATTTTAATTTTGGAAAGAATAAAAAATTTTACAATCATTTATCATTTCAAAAATATTATTTCATTTTTGCAATTGTTTATTTTTCTTAGCAAAAAATTTTTCAGCCTGCGCTTTACTACGATATTTTTCATACAAATTATAATTTTTATGAAATGATGGTATTGTTATTGTTGGTAATTTCTAATTTTGAAATCTCATTAGCTTTTAGATTAAGTCTTTTAGCCCTATCACAATTTTTCCTTGACATTTTAACTCTAGTATTATACTATTTTTCCAAAATCACCGTCAACTCGACTCTTAATATCAGCTAACTTTTTTTCTTTCTAAGGGCAGCTTTTTGATTCCTAGTTAAAATATATCTGGTAACAGGCAAATCAAGTGGATTCAATAAAATATCAATTAGTCCCATCGGGAAACACCTAGGATCAAGCAGTTCTACATCAGAACTTAATGGTATCGACTTTACCTAGAACAATGAAAAATAAAAAAATACTTTTGAAATGATGATTCATAGTAAATTAAAAGTAATTGGAATCAAAATTTAAAAATCTTAATTTTTCATCCATTTTAGTAATGAGAGTGAATTATAGAGTTAATATATTAAGAATGAGAAAGACAATTGCACAACCAATTTCGATAGATGATAAAATAAGAAAAGTCAAAAACCAAGTTGTTGGATGTATACTTTTGAATAACCTGAATAATTCTCTAACTTAAACTTACTCAGAGAGTTTTTAAACCAAAACTTACTCTGAAAATAAGAAAAGTTGGAGAATGATGTTAACACTGTAATTGTAGCGATTTTATACTTTTCCTCGAAGGGAGATTAAAAATTACGATTACCTCTCACCTTTTCTCTCTTTGATCACTTTTACTAACTTTGTGAAAATAACTTATTAAGAATTTCTGTGGAAAAATATAAGTGATTATGAATAAATCAACAAATGAATTTGTATCCATACAATTGCAAGTCATTAAAATACATTCCATATGTTAATTCATGGAAAAATAATCAAATCACCAAATGAAACTTCTATTTATTTAGTTGACACTTCGTATAAAACGTTCAAGTTACTTGTTAAAATACATCATAAAATAATGCACTTTTATTATCGCCGTTTAATTTGAAATATTTGTGTTTTGAGAATGCATTCAAATTAATCACCCTCAACTTATTTAATTTAGATATTAAGTTGTTAATCTTCAACGAAAAAATGAAATCAAGAATGCACAGTGAAAACACTATTGAAATTCTAGTGATTATAACTTAATACATTGTTTTAAAATCTACGGCTTTTTTTCGTGAAAATTAAGTTAATTGCTTCAAAATTCATTGAAGCGTTGAGGAATTTGAGGTAAGTAAAAGTTTGAAAGAGTGAGCTCACTATGTGAGTGAGAAAAAAATTGTAGTAAAAACGAAAAAAATACTTTGAAAGTCTCTACTTCGATCTTTTTGTCAAGTTTTTTTCCCAAGTTTTATAAGCTCAATAATCAAGAGTGAAAAAATGGATATAAAACAAGAGGATTTTTATGTTGCATCATCTCCTCCTTCACAGTTACCCCTTCCACCCACTTTTCTGTGCACCCAACATTGTTGTCCTTCCGACCTCCATTCCTCACCTTATCAACCTCATCAACACCTACGGCAAGAGATAATTTGCTCTCCGAATTATTGAGTGATATTGCTCCTCAATCTGATGTGGTGCCAAACTCAACTGTGAGACGAGTTTCAACCGTTTCACGAGCTACTCAACGGAATTCACCAGTTCCCACTTGGAGTAAAAGCTTAATGAGTGTTCCATCAGCTCGCGGAAACATGCCAAACAACAATGTGCCATCAACCTCTGCATCAGGTAACTCAATAACAAAGTGTTGTCAATGTAATTGTTGTTCAGTTTGTTGCCCGGTTGCTCGTCATGAGCTTCGTCACCTGATAAATGCTCAACAAAATACATATATTGAAGCGAGGCCGGTATTTGCTCGAAAACCAAGCAGAATGTAAGTATTACATTTTAGCTATTATTTAACATATTTACAAGGGATTTAAAGGTTGAGGAATCTGTGCAAAAGTTCGGAAAATTTGAGCAAATTTGAGTTTAAGTAGCAAAAAGTTGATCAAGTTAATGCATTATGGTGTAAAAAGGTTCGAAAGAAGAATGAGTGATATGATGATAAAGAAGAAGAAATGATAAGTAGATTTGATTAGAAAGAGGATGAAAAATAATTATTGATGAAGGGAAGAGGTGAAAAGCCATTGTGCATTTCTGTTTTTATTTTTGATGAGAAAAGATGAGAAAAGATGAAGAAAGACAAGAAGACAAGAAAAATATTGAAGAATGGAAAGATGAGAAGAAGAGAAGAGAAGAGAAGAGAAGAGAAGAGAAGAGAAGAGAAGAGAAGAGAAGAGAAGAGAAGAGAAGAGAAGAGAAGAGAAGAGAAGAGAAGAGAAGAGAAGAGAAGAGAAGAGAAGAGAAGAGAAGAGAAGAGAAGAGAAGAGAAGAGAAGAGAAGAGAAGAGAAGAGAAGAGAGATGAGAAAAAAACGATTGAAATTCATTGGAATTGGCCTTTATTGAATTTCAATCGTTTTCACTTCCTGTCTTTCTTTTCCTCTTTCTTCTCTTTATCCAGCAGCGTTCTCTGGAACTGTGTGCTAGCACAAGTTGACCTTTTTCCTGGAAAGGTCAAGGTGTGCTAGCACAGTGTGCCAGAGTGGGCTGCTTATAGTCGACTCATTTTTTGCGCAAACTTTGCGGTTGCGCACATTTGCTTCTCAAAGTTGGAAATTAACATTGGCGTCTATGGGAAAATGAAATTTCATTTTTCATTACCGTGCTCATGGCATTTAGTTACAGCTCCAAGGCAGTTGACGATATTCAGATTTCGATCATGTGTATGAGTATTGTAAGCTCAGCTATAAGTGCTTTAACCTACAAATAATCAGCATCTGGTTTCAACATTTTAACAGCAACAAGACTGGTTTTTCCAGTTTCACTGAGGCCGATTGCTTGAGCTAGAACAACTCGACCAAAAGCGCCTTCACCAAGAGTTCGTTTTATTTTCAGTCGATCAGCTGGAAACTCCCATCATAAGACAACAAGTCAAACTGTTCATCTAAAGGTACATCAGGGTGTATGAATTGATTGACGAAGGACTCAGAAGGTCTGCAGTCAAGTATTTAGTGCGCTTTCGATGTCGGGCTAAAATCAAGGAAACTATAAAAATGCAAGTGTAACTCACAAGAACAGTAATGACGAATAAAATGATGACGACTTTAAGAGCATTAATCAAACTACCAACCACTTCCAGGAATATTTGCAGCCGAATCGTTCCTCCTTTGTTCGATATCCTACATTCATATTTACCTTTATCAGATATATTCAAGTTCTGGATAACTAAATGTGAACTGTCATCGACTGTATGAATATTTAGTCTATCGTTTTGCTCTATCACTTGCTCATCTTTTGACCATTCAATTGTAGGCTTAGGCTTTCCGATGGCGCCATAAAATAGCTCGAACATCGATGATTGGGCGAATTTGACTAAAGTTTTGTACATGTTTGAGCTCATTTTGGTGGAATCGCCCAGGTTATTGTAATCTTCTTGTTCTTAACAACATAAGATACTGAATCACTCAACTTCAAAGAAGAGTTTGTATCTTTTGTAGATGATTCGCTTTTTGCATCGACTTTCAATGTTGCATTACAATAGTAAGTTCCTGCTGAATACTTATCGATTTTCATCGTAGTCAATGTACTCACTAAATTTTCACCCTGATTGTTGAGATTGTGGATCATTACTTGAGATGTATTCGGCAATTTATGAGGCAATGTGAGGCAATTTATGACACATTTACTTTGGTACCAATCGAGTTTAGAATAATTCAGTGGCGAAGCTTCACACAAAAATAATAAATCATCTCCTACAATGTATTCAGTTGCATTGACTCTCAAGTGAATCTCTTCTGAATCAGAATTAGTTATGAAATACCTATCAGCGTGTTTGGATCCATGGCTATTGAAGGCTTCGCATCTATAGATACCGTCATGAGAGGCATTCTTTATGTTTAAAACCGATCGAAATTGATAAAAGTTTATGATTGACTCTTCGCCTCTTCTGGGTAAAAACCATTGATTAGTTTCCCAATCTGATTCATCATTCAAACGGTCATTGAATCCATTGGCTATTATGCGATTCGAGTTAGTCACTCGATTGCAAGATGTGCGTTTACAAGGAAAGATAGACCAAGAAATATTCAAAGGCTGATTGGCGATTGCATAGCAGTTAATGAATGCGAGCCTTTAGAGAAGAAGCGTTGTGATCCAATGATCTCAACATGGATTTGCTGTTCAGTTGATACTGATTTATTCATTAATGATTTGCTCGTGTTTTGTTTAGCAATGCTGAGTGTAGGTAAGGCCAGTGGCTTGGACTGATTGCTTCCGTTGCCAGTCTCTATCACCACCATCACCTTCTTCGAACCAGTCTGTTCAGAAACAGATTAACAACAAGAAGAATGAGAATTGAGAATTTCTCATATTGCAATGTACTAAAGTTCCAGGTTATCAATATTTAACTACATGAGTTTGGCCATATCAGATCATTCATTAAGAATTTTTTACTTTACAAGATTTTCAGTTAAATGACTAAAAATGGGAAATCATTCACATTATTGTGGTTAATACATTATGAATATAATACCATGTAATTGCTGTTCTCGTTAATAGTTAGTGCGTGATACCATAAGCGTATGAGTATTATTTTCATTTTCACGAGCTAATATTTGGCTAATTGATAGCTATGCGTTGAAAGTACATGTGTATGTGTTAGCCTGTTGTTTGAAAGCTTAGTCATCGCCATTCCAATCATGTAGAACTCGAAATTCTTATTTTGGAACTTAAACAATTTTTCACCTATTCATCCCTTTAATCAGTTTAATTATTATAAACCAGTAACAATGATTGTTTTGAATTATAAAGGCAAGTAGATATAATAGTTAACTGTAGGTTTTACAGCCTTTACATGCACAAAAGTCAGGTCCTGCACCACACCAACCATGAGGACTACAGCACTTGTGTGTTGGCGAATCTGGGTCACAGCCAGCCTCTTTTCCATTTATCTTAGGAGCTTTTGGTCCACAAGATCCTCCGAGACTAGCTCCATCTTCAAGCGTCCACCACATTTTCGGACCATACTTATAAGCCGGATTCTTTCTGAAATCTATGCAACCAGGGCATTTACAATGCTCAGCTGTACTTCCGCAGTAACCACCGTTCGAGCAACAATGAGAATTATCATCATCAGGGTTACAAGTTGGATAAATTCCTGAGATTTTTTCTATTTTTCTCCCACATCTGCCTCTTTTACCGTCAGGATCGTTAAGTAAATACCATGTAACCGGAACTGATGGTTTAATAGCACCTTCTAAAATTTTTCTTGGATCTTTTCCAAAATCTTTACAAGTCGGGCAATTGCAATAATCAGGGCCAGTTCCACAATAGCCAAACTTACCACAGCAACTGTAACCTGGATCATCAGGATCGCAGACTGGATAATAGCCTTTGTAAAGTGGAGCTGATTTACCACACAGCCCTGCTTTGTCTTCGCCATCTTCAGATGTCCACCATCTTTTTTCGTCGATTGGTGAGCAAATGAAGTCAAATTTGTTAGGATCAGTGTTTTTACAAAGAGGTGCTTTACTGACAATATCGAGCAAAGTAAGGTTGCGATCATCAAGATCGATTGCCCACACCATCAGACCACCAACATTCTTATGCACAGCATATTCAACTTTGTATTTTAGGGATTCCTGGTTCTCAAAGCCTAGAAAAATTTTTGTTGATGGGTTCCAAGCGTACGGTGTTTTAGATTTCTCATGGAATTTGACATTGTATCCATTTGATGTTGAATATTCAGATTCAATCTTATACCAAGGAACAAAATCCCCCTCAAATTTACCATTTACAGCCTTTGCAAGTCGCCACATACCGTCAGATCCATCAACTGGATCGCCAACATTTTTCCAGTATCTACCATAGAAAGGAACTCCCATATTAAGTTTGTGCGGTAGCTTAGTTTTACAGGTGTAATATTTAACGGTCCAGGCTGCATTAGTTTTTCCTGAGAATCGTGATGGCATACCAAAGTATAATGGCGCTGGTGGCCCAGTATATGCTCCCCATTTCGATGCCCAAGCTCCAAAGTAATCATAAGTCATGATGTTTACAAAATCAGCATATTTGAGTAAACCCGGGAGGTCAAAACCTGGATCCAATGTCCACTGACCTGCAGCACCTGCGAATGATATCAAATATTTGTCGTTTCTTTTCACCTCATCAGCAAGAGCATCTAATAAGCCACGTAATTCTTTCATGAGAATCACATAATTCATTTTATCAGCTGGCATTCCTTCATTAGCCCCACCTGTAACAGGATATTCCCAGTCTAAATCAACGCCATCAAAGCCCCATTCTGAAATAAGCTTAACAATAGATGTCATAAATGTATTTCTCATGGAACTTGAAGCAGCAATTTTACTGAAATATTGTGAATTTTCCCAGCCTCCAACTGCAAATAGTACTTTTACATGTGGATAAATTTTTCTCAAGCTCATCAAGTGCTCAAGACGTGATTTGGCTCTATCAAGCTCTTCATCGACGTCTTTGCTGTTTTTACGATCTGGAGAACCAATGAATACTCTTCCATCTGATGAAATCTCTAAAAATGCAAAAATAACATGAGTTAATCTTTGCATCATTATTCCAGTTATTGGTCTTTTCCCCCATGATGTGTAATAACCAATAATGCGCTTTCCACAGCTTTGCACTGCAACTTTTATTGAGCCATCCCCATTCTCTGCAACAATTCGACTTGTATCGGTATCTCTGTCTACGTCAATGCCTGAACCTGATGTTGCAAGTCCTATCAAAGACAAAGTTTCACTAAACTCGTCAGGATGACATCCACGATCTAATGGTGGTGACTCTCTTTTTATTTTACCAGAGTGTGTGTTTTTACCCCGCATCAGTTTCGACTCTGCCTTTGTAAATGCTGCTACCCATGCTGCGGCTTCATCGTCCTTCAAACTTCGAGCTCGTTCACATGCTATTGGATTGACAGGTAACCAAACTGTAGCGTCTGCTCCAATTGTAGCCTCACGACCTTTATTTAACTCCATTATAGTTGATATCCAAGGATTGCGTCCTTTAAACATTCTCAATACACGAGCCTGGGAAACTGGAGTCAAAGATACGTTGGCGCGTTTCGCATGATCATGCTTGTTGTTGAGTTTGGAATTTTCAGCAATAAAACCAACAACGACTTCAGTCGATGATTCATCTTTATAACACAACATTTTCCAAAAGCATGCAGGAACATCGATTCCGCCAGTATTCGTCTTACCGATGGATGAGTGACATATTCCAGTTGCCACTATTATTCTTTTTCGCTTTCCAAAGCATTGAACATGAGCTTCGAGTTGCGTCCAGAGACCTGAATTTGTTCGGCCATCTTGTGGTGCAGCATTGATATAGAGATTAGAAGATAAAGTGGCTTTGTGGGACCAACGTGCAATGTTAGCTGGGGTAAGATGGCCTTTATGCCATCCACTATCTTTGTAATCTAAATCGTTTGCTTGGTACGCTACTAAAGATGGGCAAGGGTATTTTTTGAACCTATTCTCTCGGCTTTTGAAAAAGAACTCGTTGTAGCTGAAATAGACGAAAAAAAGTTTATGAGAAAACTATAATATAATATCTGTTGCAAATTCTCTAAGTAATCTTAACCACCTTTTGTGTTGCCAAACATTACTTTGATGGAGCGCGATTGACCAAATCGGCAATTTTCTGCGTTTGTTGAAGAGTACACTGTAAACGACTACATGTTTTGAAGTACCAACTGCTCCAAGTTTATTCTTTGGTGTCGTTAACGATATCAAAACTTGGTTTGTTTTTGCACAGTCTTTTAGCTTGCATTCTGGCTTCGGCATCCAATCGAGTTTGTTTTTACCAATATTTTTACAAGTTATTGTTGGTTCAACTTCCTCATAACCTGGTTCACATTCGAAATCACATTTAGCATTAACTTTTCTATTTCTACAATCGTTTGTTGTAGATGGAATTATCGGATCGAGATTTGGGCCATGAACGTTCGAAACGGGACGAGGGCATGCGCCATTACCTTTATCATCGTCATCACAATCTTTACCAGGACGCTTCCGTTTAGTGGCTCTTTTAGTGTGTTTATTTTTCACATCGCATTGACTTCCTCTCTGCTCTGCATCTCTATCTTTGTCTTTTTTCTTGTTATCTTCCCCTTTGCTTTTTGATTTACTTTGATCTGATTTTGATCTGTCCTTTGTTATTTTGTCTTTTGTTTTAAGCTTTTTCACTCCTGTTTTCGCTGCATTTTTTGAAATTTTGCCAGTGTTAGCTATAGCTTTACTAGCTATGCTTAATCCTTTACCAGCGATGCCTCCCCCTGGAATAGCCATTGAAAGCAAATCAAAAGTTCCTGATTGCAAGAACTCAGCTCCTTTTTTCTTGAAACTTTTAAAGTCACCTTTGAAAAGAGAACCAGCAGCTTCTCCGATAGTTTTGATGTCTTTAACGATGGGAATCTTCATTGCTGCATCTGCTGCTCCTTTGATGTCTCCTTTTATGAATTTTCCTGCTGCTTTTACTAGTCCTTTTCCAGAATCGATAATAGTTTTAGCAGTGTTCTTGATACCATCAACAAACCCCTTGCCGATTTTTTTGAAAGCATTCCCAATCTTTTTGAATATATTTCGCTTTCGTCGCAGTGAAACTCCATTTTTGGTTTTTTTCAACTCCACTGATGCTGTGGAGCCTCCATTTAGAGAGTTTTCAAAGCACCCATAAATATCATCAGATTGGAAAAAGTTTAGCTTGTCCAGTGATTCTAGATTAAAATCTAATGTACTTATTTTTTTGTACAATATTACATTAGCTGCTTGTAGTGTCAAAGTATCATCATATTCGTAAAAGTGACATTCTGCTTCACCATACTCATACGTAAGTGTATAAAAGATACACCAATCTTTGAGCTCATTTGAACAATAACTACTACACTTTTCTTCACAATCAGGCTCACAAGACTTGATTTCCCATCTGGCTTTCAATTTATCAAGACCAATGCCGTAAATTGCTGCATAGTAAGCAGAGTTTGACCAAATATCTGGATGTTTAACCATCGCAATCAACCCTTGTTTGGGTTTATTATGCATTGAAACTTGATCACTTGCAACTTTGCATATTTTTGTTATCGATGAATAACTTATTTTAGTGATTTTATCATTGATATTGATTTCTTCTAAGCAGTCCTCCAGATTTCCTCGACTCATTTCATTGTAATATTGTGTCATTTCACTTTTCATCAAATCAAAATCAGGTAAAAAATCGTTTCTAAGAAGAAAACGATGTAAACCAATATTTTTTTCAGGGTATCTCAACATATATCTGGTTTGATATTCCTTGGTCAATAATTCAGGCAATATTTCTTCAGTTGACTCATCTAGTCCATTAACGCCGATTCCGAGACATTTATCTTTCGACAAACAAGTAACCATTCGATTGATAACTTGATCTGCGATTCTCGATGCTTTAGCCATTACACTGTCTGGGCAAATCTGTAGTTTATAACTGAAAAGTTCATCTGTTGCTTCAGGGTAATAGCATTTTTTGCAACCAGTGATTGAGTCACAACCAACTGCACCGGAAGTAAAACAATCTTTTGAAAAGTAAGCTGAATGAGTTTCGTTGTGTTTTCCAGAACAAGTATTATCTAAAGTGGTGTTTGAGGCAAGTTTATCCAAATCATTTTCATCTCGAGTGAATCTCCAGGAAACATCTAATTTCTCAGATGGTATATCAGTCAAATTAAATGCTGTCAACCAACCATAGTTCAAGTCAATATAATCAATTGTTTTTACGCTACTATACATCTTGCATTCAAATGATTGTAAATTGTATGAAGCATGATTGCACAATTTGTCGAGTTGACAAGCTCTTAAACAATCACGAAAACTTGTTTGTTGGTCAATTTTATGATAGTGACCTGAAATGGAAGTATGGCGTATATAAAGCCAGCTCTCTAATACTCCAGAAGGTTGACTCATCAAAATCGTTTTCCAATTTGAATCACTTGTAAAGATACCAACTGTGCTGTTGAACATGTAGCATTTCAATGATTCTTGATCATAACTCAAAGATAAGCAACGAGAATTCGCTTCACACAAACCAAAACAATCTTGAAAATCAACATTCGATGTTGTATTTGATGGAATTCGGTCCAGGAAAATATCTTTCAAGTAAAGAAAAGGTAAATTCGGGCATAAATCACAAATTCTGACGCCATCATCATCCCCAACTTGCATTATTATTGATTTATCAGGATCTAGTTGAGTACACTTCAACTGTGTTGGCGTTGCAATAAAATCATGACTTTTAAGAAGCAGATATTTCACGAAATTCTCAAAAGATCCTCCTGTAATCGGTTCAATATCCTCTTCTTGTTTGCTTCAATCAAGAAAATAAACTTTAGTTTAGTTCATCATAAAGTACTTCAACTAACCGCTCTTTGGTTTCACAGCATTCAAATAAGTCTCCTTCAGGACAAGGCTGGCTACTTTTGAATTCAAGATCAGCTCGACAGCCTCGATTCTCCCAAAATTTCAATTGGCAACTAGACCACCAACATCTCTGTTCTTCAGCCTTTACAGGCTTGAGAGGTGGACCAGGACAACAAAAATATCTATGTCCATCGTCACAATCTGTCCTTTCGTGTTCAGTTCTTTGCAATGAAAAAATATACATAAACAATGTATTTTATAATAAAATGTAACTGTGCATGTAAATTCACGGGACTCACAGGGCATTTACAGGTTTTAAAATCATTTTTTTGATTTTCAACTCTTATACTGGATATCTTATATGGATATACTAATATGATAACATAAAATACTAGATATGAGTAATTTAATAAGTTTAAAATCTTGTTCAAACAGTTCAAGTGAAAACGGCTTAACCAGGTTAAATGTCAGGCTGTCGGGGAATGGTTGTTATTGTATAATGAAATTGACCTTAGACGAATAAAACATTGTAATTCATTCCGGGTCTTGTTTCATCAGGGAAAAAAGTTTGAGCTAATTTCTAATCAGAAATAAGCTCAGTTTGAAAATCCTAAATCCGAAGATCCTTGACTTTTTTCAACAAATAAGACTTTGGGCTGAATGTAGACTTTAGTTCAGATGAATTGTGGTTATACAGTTTAAAGTCTTATTTGTTGAAAAAAGTCAAAAATCTTCGGATTTAGGATTGGGATTTTCAAACTGAACTTTAATTACAGCTATGTGATTGCTCTGACTAAATCTACTTTTTGATTAATCTACCTAATGTATCTGTTCTATCATGATATAAAAATTTCGCTTCTTAATAAATAAAGGTTCCTAAACTAAACAATAATCGGTTTTCACAATTTTGTCGTACATATACACGCATAAAATAAAAGAGAGATGATTTCAAATTTTGGGCGATTGGCTCACAATCTCTTTTGATAAAATAAGCAAAGTTTGCTTAGCAAACTGTCGGACTATTTCTTGTAAATACCATTCAATCTTTCTTGAGGTAAATTCAAATGAGCTAATTCAACTGAGCTATTCAAAGACCGAAAGAATTTTTTATCCTTCTGATGTGGATACAATCAGGTCCGCATTAACATTAAATGTCTCTGAGACTTAATTTCTTGATTGAATATGCCTAATTCGATACTTTCATTTCCATTTATTGCATTTCAAATCAGTTTCTCGATACTCACAAATTATAATGGGCACAGCCAACAATCGCCCAGCTATTTTTCTGGCATCCAGTCCACCAACAGCCATGATACATTGGCTTATAAGTCGTTGTTGATGAGGAAGTTGTTGTTTCTGAGATTGGTGAACCTCTAATAATTCAAAATCATTTTCACTATTTAACACCTTAATTGAAACATTGAAAATTAAATAATCATACTCATCTGTAGAAAAATCTTCATCCGTCAATTTCGGGCAGCAAAAATATTTATGACCATCTTCACAGACCAACTTGTCTCTTTCAGTTCTGTAAAATGTTATGTTTATATTAATCACTTTCGTTTCAAGTGAATTTCTGAAACTTGCCTGTTGTAATGAGCACATCCTACAGCTGACCAAGCATTTTTCTGACACCCAGTCCACCAACAGTCTTGAAACTCTGACTTATCGTCTCCTGAAGGCAATAACTTTTCATTTGCATATCTAGATGGTTTATCGGAATTTAACCATTAATACGTGATTTTTTCTTTGACTTTTGCAAGAAACTGCACAAAATTAGGTTATATTATTATAATATTTTTATAAAGTGGTGAAATAATTACCCTGTTAAGAGGCATGAAAAAGATGAATTAGTCGTGTAACTTTTCAAACAATCATGGCGAGCAATCAACTTACCGTTACAAGAAAGAAACAGCCTAAAAAAGAAAAAAAAATTGAACCAGCAAAGATTGAAAGTTGAATCTTTTGACTTCTGGTTGTTTTTTTCATTTTTAATTCTGAAAACCAGAACCATAACGATGAACAAAAATCACTTGGAGAAATTTATTTCAAAATACATTATTTTAAAGAAGTTGCAAAGTGTAAATATGAACAACAAGTGATTGAAATTGTATCAACTCATATCGTCATATTTTCTGGTTGCTTAATGGTTATTAATGCGCACGATTTTTTTCATTGTATTATTTAAGAATAATCATGGTTGAATAGTAAAAATATGTTGAAGTAGCTAGAGGTAGTTTCTGTAAAAAATTAATTAATCAGAACAGACAGAATAAATCAGAGAGAAAAATTCTAGAAATTGCTCAAATTTTTATTCGAGTGGTAAAGTTCATTATACAGTACATAAAATCCAGGAGATTTTGTAAATTAGAAAAATTGATAATTTTCAGCTTAAAAAGTTCAGGTTTGCAAAGGGATAGTCTCATCAAAATCGTCTTCACTTGAATCATCTTCAATGAACTGTGTGTGCGTAGGTGCTGTTGTAGTGGAATCATGAGCTTTTTTCATGTGTCGATACAAACTGCTAACCATAGAGTAAGCGTGATCACAGTAAAGACACTTGTGCAGGCGATAAAAATGTTTACTTATTACATGTTGTTGCCAAAACCCACGCGTAAATGGCTTGAAACAAACGCAACAAATGATATAACCAGAGCCTAGTGATAGATCATCCTTGATCAAGGGTAAAATATTATCGACACAATTCGCAATCCGTTGTATATGTGAATAATGTTGCCGTACACAAGTTCGACTGAAGTCAATTTCACTTTTTCGAGCGCATCTTTTGCTTTTTTCCTTCATCAGTATCCGCTGTTTTTTTATTTCAAATTCTAGTTGTTTGAGGCACGACTTTGATGTTGACATCTTGACACATTTTTTATTACTTTTGGCTGCTGTTGCTGGAGAAGCTGACTCTGTGATGTTAAGGTCAGTTTGAATTTCATCACAATTCACTGATACTTCCATTGGGCTTGAATAGGAGACAAAACAAAAAACTTTAAACTCGAAATGAGTTAAACCATAAAAACTTTTGTATTTATTATAATCTCAAAACAATCAATTAACTTGTGTCTCAAGTTGCTCTCTCAAGGAAAATCTCTGCTTTTAACGAATTTAAATTTAAACAAATTGGCAACAATGTTAACATCTCAGTTCGGCTGACTGATTAAAATTTATCTATTGTGAGTAAACAATTGCTAACTTTCTTATCGACTAAATATAAATATTAATGCAAACAACACTTTGAAACATCAAACTGCGGCTTCTTCTCACTTTGATTGCCAGTATTTTGTTGGTCATTTAAATTCAAGTGAAGTGAAGATTTAAATTCAACATTCAATCTTGTTTATAAACTGCTACATCAGGAGTCAGTAGGATCGTCATCGTGTCAATTAATGCACAAGTGCAGGTATCAATAAAACATTTTGAAAGCAACTCTTTCCGATTAATCTGATTGGATCTTGATCGACCTTTAATTGAATTTGATTTAAAATTAATCTAATCAGGAAAAGAACATCAGAACATTTCAATTTTCTGGTTTCGTAAGAAAAGTTTTTTGCCAGCTTTGACCTTGGCTTTGAAAACAATAAACAGCAATCCATTTAGTAGTAAGTAAAGTATCAAAGTTAACTGAATCTTTTTCGTCTATTAGCCAAGATAAATGGTGTTTCCGCTCGTAAATTGTGAGCATGTTGTCAGGAAAAGGCAAAAAATAATCATAAATGGATTCAAGTCAGTTTTTATGCTTTGCTCTGTTTTCCTTGGATCTATTACCATTACAATGATAACAAGAGGAAGACACGACGGATTGGTTAAATTGTACTGCAATTGATCAATTGTTGGATAAAAACAAAGAGAAAAGGAAAGTAATTGAATTGTTATGGTTGATGAAGAGTATTGACGAAAAGGAAGTGGAAATAAAGGGAACACACAAGCTGATCATAATGATAATGACGAGGAAAAGAGTTATCTTTTCATTATTTGTTTCATAACTATCTTTATATTTATTTAGCAGATAATAATGAGCATTTTAAGCTATCATTGGTTACATTTAGTTGACAACTTGGTTGTTGAGTTAATCATTGTAAGTAGTTTGTCGCTGTCTATCAACATTCATTTCAAAACTCTTTTAGCGCAATCAATACTTTGTTTGCTTTCAATATTGGGTTCCAGTTGCTGATGGTTTAGCTGGTTGAGCGTCTGAAATTGGCAATGATGATGATGCAGGGTAACTCGATGCTGGTGACCAATAATTTTTAACATCATTTCCTGTCATTTCTGTTATCCATTCCAGATACTTTTGTACATTGATATAAACACCAGGATGACCTGGTTGACCACAATCGATTCCCCATGAAACGATTCCAACCAAAGTATAAGTTCCATCTTGACGATAACAAACTAAAGGTCCTCCACCATCACCCTAATAATCATAAAAATCATTCAATGATTAAAAGCTTCAATTGGATGTGAAAATGAACCTGATCAATTCAAGACTTGAGTTCTTGTAGGAATATCAAACTAATAAACAATGAACAGCAATTGTTGTAAAGCTCTCACTTGTGAACCAAGTTTATTAATTACACCATGATTATTATCATTGCTGTATGAATACAATCCAATGAACAGTTTGCATTTCGATTTTGATTTGAAAAAGTACAGTGATTTTGGTTGACTCTCCAGGAACTATAGCATTTTTTAACATGCTATAATTATTTTTATAACCTTATCTAAGTTTGATCAGAATTGTTAACTCGTTTTATTTTATCTTTTTTTATCGCGACTCTAAGCAATCACCATTTATTCATCTCCCTGACCAAGTGAAAAGACCAATTTAAATTAAAATCATTTCCGTTTGTTCCAGTTAACAATGTTAACTATTAATATCAGCTGATAGTACAATGTGTAATGTGTTGATTATGCTGAATAACTACATAAAACTGTAGCAAAATGTTTGTTGTGAATGATTGAAACAAAATCAGTGCATTTTTACTGGAAAGTGAGCAACAGAAAATAATCAATAAAATTCTCGTAATTGTCAGGAAAGACAATAATCAAGAAAAGAAACGAAATGTTCACTGTCTGTATATTCAATGAATCGTTTAGCATGCATTTGAAAAATCATGGAAATGAAATTATGAAGCATGTTGTACTAATATCACTATAAAGTACATGCAAATAATCAATAAGTGAAGGAATGAAAATAAGTGATTAATGTGATATAAAAATGGTTCAAATAACAAGAATCAGTTTTCCCATGTCGTTTATGCTATCAACACTGAGATCCAGATTGTCAAATCATTTTCAAGTTATCGTAATAGTTGTGATAATCAATTTTAAAAAGGATTGAAAAGTGATTTGAAAGGCAGTGTGAATATGCAAGTTTTGATGAAATTTTTTCTGGTAGCTAGCAATTTCGACGTTTGAGTGAGGGTCAATGTTAATGATTGCTTGATTTAATCAATAGAAAGCAAAGGCTTGTCAATGAGTTTTCTCATCGACACAGAGTCTATGCCTATCCATGCATCATGCAATATTAATAAATTGGACTTGATCTAATTAATAGTTAAAAATGTTCATTAGACCATGAACAGTCTCTTTTTAAAGGGTCGGGGATCTCGGTGTTTTGTTTTTCATTTGCCAAATCAGTAATGATAATTATCTTTACTGAATTTATGATGTCCTTGAAAAGGCAAACAAAAGTCAACAACAATAATGAATGAAATAAATCCAAATGTAAAGACAATTCTTTCGAATATCAAGTAATCGAATTGAATGACAGTATGCCAAGTACAGATAAGTTATAGTATCTTAACAGCAGCAAGATAACAATGACTTTGGAATACTAATCAGTCGAAAAATGAAAAAGTCAAATCATAACGTTTTTAAACAATGTATTTGTTCATTTCTTGTTGAATGCCTTACAGGTTTCATTCTCATTCAAATGCCCAACTTAAAAATTGATTATTGAGTTACCATCATATTTATGATTCCAGTTTCATTTACACATTTAAACTTGCAATAACTGATATCTTTTAATGTCAATTTTATCAAACTAAAATTTGCGTTTCTAATGTCGTCAGTTTATTAAATTTGAAAATTGAAGCTGATTGCAATTTGTTTTGAATGATTTGCATTCTCATGGAATGCATAAAATACTATTCTAACTTGACAAAATTCGTGATGAACAACATGTATTACTGGTACAGTTCTTTGAGGACGAAAAATTGATTTTCAGACAAAAGATAACTTCACTATTGGATTTGTGAGCAGTTGAACCTTGAAGCGTATCATAGCCTGTAAACATAAATATTACAATGATGAAGATTAACTTGAAAGAAAATGAAGATCGAATAACGATTTGATAGCTGTGATAATAGAAAGAGATTAGAATAGTATTGAAGAGGAAATATGCAGCATACTCTGTTCTTGTTCATTTATCACACTGAATCTCATGTAATACAGATAATAATTCACAATAACTTTTCATCAATGCTGGTCCCGTTGGCATCTTCCTTCCTCTTCTTTCCTAACCCATTTCCCTTTAATTAATTGCTCAATCTGAATTTAGTATTAACGATTTCACTGTCACTTTCATTGTTTAAGATTACGTTGGATTGGGTTTTCATTAATTTTGGTTTTTTTCTGTTTCGACATTGAATGATGAAAAACAATATAATAATATGAAGCTTCTTCAATGAATAAGACATCGAGTTAATCTAATCAGTAAAATCATGAATAGTTTGTTCTCATCCGCTTTATTTGATTATAGATAGTTTCAAGCGATCACTGAACAATGGATGGAATGGACAATTTGCCTTATTCAAGCAACAAAAGTTTCAATGGCAATTATAAAATATATCTGATTCAACTCATCTTTTGGTTCATATGTTTTCTGTTTTTTAATTTCATTTCTCAGTTGAATTAGTTTGAGATGATTCATTATAAGAATTTAATATTTTCCACTAAATTAAATTAATTGCTTATAATTCGAGGAGAACCTAATTTCTACATCCAATAAAACTGGACGCCACTATTAATGATACGATTAACTTTCAATAAAACAATGAATTAACTAATTGATAACTAATTAAATCAAGTTTTCTTTAAGGTCCAATTACTTGCAAGTTGAATTAAGCTGTAATAGATTCGAGTCAAAATTGTGTCTCAAAAATTGAAGTGAACGCAAAAGCAAAAAGTATCATTCAAGATATAAATGATACAATGTATTATGCTGTGTAGAAGAAAGTTTCAACTGTTACTTACTTTGCATGAATCTCGTCCTTCTTCACCTCCAGCACACATGAAACCGTCATGTAACCGAAATCGCGGTCCCAAACGAGTGCGACGAAGTCTTTTTTGACAGTCATAATTTGATATAATGGGTAAACTGACCTCTTTCAATATATTAGAGTAATGTCCTCCTTCTACAAGAAAGTTAAGTTTCGAGTTAAATCAATTGCAAATCGATTCCCAATGTCTAATGGTACCAGTCTTTCACAACTTACTATATGCATTTTTACCCCAACCTGTAGTGACACATTGATGTCCTTCAAATACTTCATCAGGTGTTGGTAAGCAGACTGAGTCAATGTTTGGTTTGAAATTCACTGGACGATCCAGTTTAAGCAGAGCAATATCATTCCAAAGGTTGTTGGGATTGAACTTGGGATGAATGAGAACCCTTTCAACCAGATAATCCTCATGAGGCAAGAATTCAGTGGTCTTCTGAGTGTCCCATTCACCAAGACGAACCTTTAATGCATATTGAGTGGAATCAATGAATGCTTTAACACAATGAGCAACTGTAAGAACGTGCTGTGAGTCAATCAAAGTACCGCCACATTGGAATATATTGACATCTTTCTCAATTTTTAAAACAGCAACCTATTGAAATGCGATGATAAAGAGATTGAGATGAGCAAACAAAATTCATTAGAAAAGCTTAAAATATAATAGAAGACTATTCCCAAGAAGATCAGTCCAAGTTGAGAGAAAATTTGAGCTTCTACCAATTTTTGCACATTATTGTCATGATAGAATCTATTGTAAAAACATTATCTATGATTAAAGAAACATTTTCTAAGACAAGTTTATAATAAATGCCAATAATTAAACAATTATTCGAAAAAATTCAATTTCATTTAAGATGTACGGTTTTTTGGACTTTGATAATTCTGAAGCATCGATCAAAATAGAGTAAATTTTCACTAATCTTGAAAGTAACACAAATTGATCGCTAGATATACAAGTTATTCAAAAGTCACGCAACACTTTTTTCGCTTATAAGAGCGCCGTCCGTGCAAATTTTTTCGCCATATTTTTTCAATGACCCTCTCGCATCAGTACTTTTTTTCAAAATGTTTTTAAAATTTCGATTTTTCTTCGACAATCTCAAGACTTTTTTAGTTTATGCTTACTATGCAAACTATCGAAATCATCATAGAAAACTCGCAATTTCAAATACCGAATTCATTGACCTCTAACCTAACCTAACCTAACCTGATTGATCAGAATATTGAGTCAAACTTAATGCAGATTAAAATATCATACAGAATCTCTCGAGTTTATCATTACTTTCATTCAATTCTAGTGAAATTGTGATAAGAAAATATTATTTTCTATTATAATATTCCTGTAACTTTGATGCTTATTTACTCTGTTTCCTGTAACCCTTTGAAAAGGATAATTTTATACATTTGTATTTCTGTTTATACTACTGTGTAAATCAAAACTGAATTGAAAATATGTATTCATGATCAAAATTGAATCTGAAGATTGAAGAATCAATTTGCTGAATAAAATGGCAAAAAATATACCAGTCTAGCTAGTCTTGGAAGAAAAGTTTCTTGAATCTTCTGCTGGAAATGAAATAGCTGCAATCAGATAGTCTATTGCTTATTTGCTATTTTATGGCTGAAAATATCCAGAATTCAGTCCTCGGTATAAAAAATGCATTTTTACCTGCCATGGCCATTCGCCGAAATCAGATTCACCTTTGCTACTCGGAACAAGTATCCGTCTGTTTATTCCACTTGGATTACGAATCCCACATTTATGTGTATATGGCAATTGAGTTGCTGTTTCAGGTTCAGAGCAGCAAACATGGAAAGTGCCACAATAAGGGGGTTGATATCGACCATCCTATTCAGATTATAACATCAAATGTTAAAAAAGTCAATACTTTGTTTTCATACGATAACATTAATCTTTCGACCTGGAATTGGCAGTTGTACAAATCCATCGAAACAACACTCTTCTAGCAAAAATATCGCATCCTACAAGCTCAAAAACAAACAAGTACAACTCAAGGCAAACTGAAACAATAGTATCCTTACTTAGAAGGATATTTATTATAATATTGCAATTAAAATTTGTTTTCATAAATTTTCTGTTGTTTATTGCAAACGCAATACTTGACATTGTTGGAATGCATCAATTTTACTTTCAAATTACACTCAAATAACTTACTCGATCTTAATACTGAATCGATTTTTGTTGAACTTCTTTGAAGCAATAAAACACAAACTTGTTAAGTTGATATAAAAGTATGCAATATTAAATAATCGAAAATTTGAACCATTATTTTGCACTCAACCTTTTCTTTCAAAATTCAAACTCACCAAAGGAATTTCTTTTTTCGGTGGTTCTTTGATTCTTGGATCAATTATTCCAGCTCCGTCATCAACTATTCTGCCATTATCACATTGATAGTAAGGAACACAAATACAACCATGAGATTCTTGACCATCATCATCAGGATATGATTCAATCGAATGGCCTGGCTTCTTGTTTCCTGATGATGTTGGATACGAAGCTTCACTTGGATCAATGGTTTCTACTGCAGGTTTTGATGGACCATAGCCAGATGATTCTGAAGGTTTGTTGCCTCCGATTTCATCGGGTTTACCAACTTCACTCACTGGTCGATACTGTTCAGGTTCACTTTCATAAGCTGAAGGCTTTTGTATTGGCGGTGGTTTATTCGGTTGGTGAGGTGGAACGATAACTGGCCTGTTTGGTTGCGAAGGGTTGTTATAACCATTGGATTCTACTGGTTGATATTGTCCATGACTAGGTGGACCTGAAGGTTGAAGCTGAAAAGACGGAAGATTTGCATATCCAGCTGATGAAGCACCTGGTTTATGTTGTCCTGGCTTGACTGGTTTAACACCCGCATCTGTAAATAATGATGACAATACTTCTAAAGCACCTGAACCATAAGTTCGAGATTGAAGAGCACTTTCACTGTTATTCTTTACACGATGTGTCGCATCTGTTACTGTTATCAATGACAAACTTAAGTAAAAAACTAATTTCATTAAAAAGAATCTCATGATTAACTTTGGATTTGAAAGAATAATCGAAACTCGTCTCAAGATATTCAACTTGCTTTACTGGTCAAACTTAAAGATCTATTGAATTACTTTGTAATAACTAAACTGAACTTGCTGCTGTTGATGATGATGATGAATATACTTGAAGACAAAGAGAGTAAACAAGTGAATGATGTGAAGGAATGGCTAGTTTCATGGTTAATGAAAAGCCTCAAGGACTTTTGTCTAAATGTTTTCTTTTTTAGGATAAAGTCATCTTTAACTTTCCTTAGGCGAAACAAAATTCAAGAAGCAAAAAATAAAAAGAAAAGCAAAAATCTCTTTAGTCTCAACAATCGTTAATAACGTCATTCATCGCCATCAAGATAGAAAGTAAATATTGATTGTTACAACCCATTATCAAATCTGTTGGCTGACTTACCTGAAATAAACCTGGGAAAATATCTTCAGTTTCACTTTAACTTACCCAATAACTTAGTTCAACTTTTATCTAAACTCAAATGAAATCAAGAAGTTTCACAAAACGTGTTTCAATGTGCAACAAAATCGTGATAACTAATTGTTAACCTCGACCTCTAAAGAGCATGAGACGCTCATTTTCATCGTACACTGATTGAAGATTATATCAGAATATTTCTTTTCTGGAAGTAAATTTCAATTACAAAGTTAATATAACAGCAAAAGTTGAAAGTAAAAGCTCAAGTGTTTCGTTTTTCAAATTTTATTGGGAAACATAAATATTTTTATATCTGTTTGCTGTCATTACGACAATAATAGTGATTGAACATAACATCTGTACTAAAGATATTTATAATTATTTGTAATACATTGTTTTGGCTTGCTTTCTCCTCGTTTTGCTTCGATATTTATTCATATCACAATTAGTTGGAAACGATTATATTCCAATCTATTGGCTCGATATTTACAAACCCGGAACTTGCGTCTCAATGAAGGAACCCATGGTAATTAGAATAGTGAAAATGAAGATTGGCGATCATTGAAATGAACTGATGAAGAGACGAAAGAAACTTATTATTACTTGAAACTATTAGATGGTTCTGCATACATTTATATAATATTATTCCGAGCTGTTATTTGTGTTTTTGAATAAATGACAATCAATTGAAATGGCCCAATAACAAAACAAAATAAACTGACCCTGTGTTATCTTCTGAAAATGTTGGTCAAGGCTCTGATGAAAAGAAATAATGTGAATGCCAGAACAGCAACCGTGATAAATTTGGCTGCATTGTTAAATGTACACTCAAAGCATCGACAGTCCATAAAGGTTTCCCAATGTGCCTTGAAAACAGTTTCCAAATCTTTCTTCTCCACTTCTGGGTGTAGAATCTTTCGAAGATCAGTCAACTTTTCATGAGGTACATCATAAGCTGAGTAACTTGAGGTTATACTCGGTGCCCGAGAGGCTATCGACGAATAACGATGCGTGTAGGTTATTGCAGTCCGTGTGGTATTTGCATTCTGCAAAAGTAAACAATTGTATTTATAACATTTGAATGGACATTGGGTATTTTCATAGTTTACTTATGACACAAATTAACTAAATTTTTCTCGAATGTAACAAGAATTTCGCTCAGTTAAACGATTATAAAACTTATTATTACCATTATCATCATCATTTAAGGAATCTTATAATAATATAAGATATTACGAGAATCGTCAGTAAAATTAAACTCTTGATAAAATATTAAATTGAATAAACTGGATTTCTTTATTTATTTATTCACTTCATTTTGATTTAAGAGTAACAATCGGAGTTAAATGAATTTTGATATTGCCATACATGTTGACATCTTCAAAGTCCCAGAAGATGCTACAGTATGGTACATTTAGATTGGCAGACGAGTCCAATTGACAGTGAGAAGCATGAGCTATTAGTTTATTTGCCACAGCCACCACCACCACTGCCTCCACCGCCACCACCGCCACCACCAGCAAGTCTGCTTACGGCTTCAGAATTATACGGTGAATTGCCAGGACCTGCCAAAGCTGATTGCCATTCGTTCATAGTTGGTGCTGCTAAAGCAGCGGCGAAACACACGAAAGCAAAAAGTAAAACTTGAATAAACTTCATGATGATTTGGTTGAAAGTTTTAAGAATAATTGGTTTAAGAATGATAGTTGGTTGTTGAATGGTGGATGAGATACTTTGAATTACTGATGATGAATGAAGAAAACTCGCTCTTTTATACCACTTCAACTAATTAATTCCAATGACTCGATGGGCAAACATATACCTCGACTTTTTTACATTTTGCATTGTTATCATCTTCTGATCAAATTTGCAAGTAACCCAACTTTGTGAACAAAAACAAAGTTCATTAACACGATCAACAAATTACAATGAATATTCAGATAAAGATAAAAAACGAGATGCAGCGGCATCTTGAGCAAACCACACTTTCAGCCAAAGTAAATAAATTGACATGAAAATTCAATGTAACTCTTTCAATATGTTTTTTATTGATTTTGTTCACAAATCTATTTTAAAGGCTTTAATAAAAACTCCCTGAATATTCATATAAATATATTTGGGTGGAGCTGTTCCCAAATATGATTCGTCTATTACAACTTCATCTTGAGCAAAAGAGAATATTCGAAATTCTAGTTGAGAAATAATGATGATGATAGCGATAATGAAGGGTGAGGTTGACATATTGATGGATCAAACATTATGATAACTTTTGCTGTCTTGTTTTACATTTCTCGTTGAACACAGAACATTTATGTCTAGAAAATTTCATGACCCTGAAAATGACCCTAATACAAAAGAGACAAAAATGATGGATTCATTTTTTCTTTGCAAACCAGACATATTTTTTTAATGATGAAATGAAAATTTTTTGATTTAAAATCAGGTAAAGGTCTTGTTTAATGTTTATTAATAGATCATTTTAAATGTCTTTTTGGGATTCATCTAATTAGTTGAAATACTAATAAACTGTAAAAAGAAAAGTCTATAATTAGTATTCAAATATTAGTTTATCGATTATTTTGTTGAAATTAAACTTGCTTGAAATCTTAGTTGACAATGTTTAAACCAGCAACAAATTGCATTTAAAATATGACAATCACCACTCGACCTGAGTTCAATTCAGTGAATAAAACGCAAGAGTTAGCAAAAGTGTATTTAAATACGGTAATATAATATTCTCTGATGATGTCGTTGAAATTTTACGCTATAATTAGTCAGCGATCAATAATTCATCTGATAAAGTTGCCCAACTTTTATTCTCAAAATATTCGGTTTGAAATATCAGATTTGAAGATTCAATTTGCATAGAGATGTCTACGATTGATCAATGTCAAGAGTAATTATTTTTAACCTTAAATCATTTTGATTATTAAGTTGCCCAAATGGCTCGTTTTATTGGTACAATCGATTGTCCAGTTTGATGAAAATTATTCAACGATTCTGGCTCTAATACCGTTGAATAAAGTTTAGTATTGAGTCATGAAAACAAACATTAAAAGCACAAAAGATGAAATTTGCATTATTCTTGTGTAAACTCAAAAGTCAAGTAACTTTAACCAGCATCAGTTAAACTAACATTAAAAAGTTTAAAATTGAAAACAAAGTAAATGTCAACAGAAACCATTGAATTCATGAAAAGGTGTTGACTCAGATCACAATTATATCCTCAATGATGAAGTAGCTTTGAACTTTGAAAAGGCAAAAGCATGACTGATGCGACCCTAGATTTCAAATTAAACTTGTTTTCCTTAATAATGAAACGTTATTGTTCTAACAATGAAACGTTTTTCATTCTATTTTTAGTTGCAGAACCTGAATTCAGACTCGTTATTTATCTAAAAAAGCATGATAGAAACTTGCTAAATGTTATCAATGAAAGTAAAACTGTTTGAAAATAACAATCTTTTGTTTCCTCGAAACACAAATTATCATCATTATTTCGTAAATTTTACTTCAAATAACAATTTTTTTGTAAAGCAATCATCTTAATAAAAAGAACTGGAAAAGAAGAACAATTTTCGTTGGAAACTCTTCTCAACTCACTATTATATTGTATTTGATTGCGTGTTGGACAAACAATTTCGAAAGCTTCAGTAGACATTGACATTTTTCGGTTATCATAATCATTATCTGTGCAAATTATATGTTCATGATTTCATGATGTAATTTAATATCAGAAGAAGTAAATGTTTTGCTATTGAACATTGAAATATTGATGCGACAGTAGAAATGTGGAAATTGTTTCAACATGGGTTAGAGAAATGAAACAAGAAAGAAAAATTATTAAGGATTAATCAGATGCAAAAGTGCATGAATTGAACAATATTGAAAAGATAATCTGTGTAAAGTTGAAAAATGGAAAGCGAATCACATTTCTAATTATCCTTGTGTTCCTTCACTTCATTATTATCTGATAATCAAGAAAACGATGATTAATTTTTGGATTCCCATTTGCCAGTAATAATAACATGGAGTTTATTCATGTTATGATAATGTTATAATTATGACAATGATAATAATAATTTGAGGGATTTATTTCAAGGTTTCCGTTCCAAGTTCATGGAACAATTGCTTCGAAATGTTTAGTTAATGAGTTGTGCATTTTTTATTAATCTCGGCTTTTCTAGTTACTCTTTTTGCTTCTTACCTGAATCCTTATATTTTCCTGATTGAGTATTTTGCTGGCCCAATCAGGACTTGGGGCTGAAGATTCATTGGTATCAGGAGTGTCAGGAAGTGGATGTGAACCAGACAATCGTCTTTCAAGCAATAACTTTTTATCATTTGGAACTCCTTTAAGTAAGTTTTTTATTTTTCTATTCTCACTTTTCTCATTGACACTAATCACATTTTCTTTTGACACATTATCTGGACTGGTCACTGTCCCATCTTCAACATTTTCACTTTCATTAGTAGTTGGATGAGCACCAGTTTCATCACGACTATCACAATTTTCAGCATTCTCTTGTTTCTCAACTTGTTTCCTTTTTTCGTTTGCATCATCACTGCAATCAATTACAGTATCATCAACTGCTCTACTTGATTGACCGCCTTCAACTTCCGTTGCTTCCATGTTTAATTTAATCTCAGCTAAACTATTATTATCAGGCTGTGAGGGACGAAATGAACTTTTAACTAAACCATTTGGTAACGAACCATTAAAGATAATTCCATTAGGCTTTGTATTATTATTAGACTTTATAATACTGAAAACAGTCATTTTGGATTCACGATTAGGATCAATTTTATTCTTGACCAAAGGTGAAAAATTTGGCAATGAGTCAAAGATGTTGTTGTGTGAGTTCTTGAA